TTATGGGTTTTCCCATTTGCCTTTCAAACTTAAATATATATATAAAATATATATATATATATATATATATATGTATATATATATATATATATATTATATGAATTGGGTTTGCTACATAGAGGTCAGTTGCATGAGAAATTATCTGGAGTCCAGCGGTATGACCTTCATGGTCAAGTGGTCAGCTTAAAGACTTTTTTAAATGCTCGAGAGAATTCTTCATTGGATAACCACCACATTGAATTTATATAAAAGCTATACAGTAGTATATTAATGAATTTTGTGTGCATATACCTAATACATTTACATACACTGTATAAACGTCTATACAATAATCGCTGCTATAAATAAAATCAAAATAATTTTTTTTTCTCATTGAACTTTTATTTTATCAATCCTCTGACTATTTTCATTGAAAATAAACTTGCTACATTTCAAGGTATTCCTTGAGTCAACTCATATTTGATGAATGTGAACGAACCATTTGACATGTATGTTTCACCCAACTATACTAAACAAAAATAACATGTATTATAATCCTGGAAAAGTGAAAGACAATGAAATTGTACTTGTAACAAAAAGCAACTCCATAAAAATGTTGTTATTAACTTTTATAATACATGAAATGCTGCTTTTCTTATTTATATATAAGCAGGCAAGACAATACTACTACTACTACTACTATTACTACTACTACTACTACTACTAATAATAATAATAACAGTAAGAATACTGGTAAAAATAATAATAGTAATAATAATACTAGTAATAACAATAATAATAATAATAATAATAATACTAGTAATAGTAATAGTAATAATAATAATAATAGTATTAATAGTAATAATAATAATAGTATTTTTAATTATATTTATAATAATAATAATAATAATAGTATTAATAATGATAATAACAATAGTAATATTAATAATAGTAATAATAATAATAATACTATTCTGCTCTTATATAGCACGATTTAATAATGATAATAATGATAATAATCATGATAATAATAATAATAAATAATAATAATAATAGTAGTAGTAGTAATAAATAATACTATGCTGTTACGTAACATTATTCCATCTATATCAGTACTTATCAGTAATTAGTACCCCCTTGTCACAGGATTATTTAATAGCCACTCACAAAGTTTAACCTCCATCACTCCCTGGCGAGTATTCCTAGTCGTGCAAATATTAATATCTAAAATATAATATATATATACTTAAATCTTAATATGCATTTTAGTGACTCCTAAATTACAATAAATCCAACAATGTACAGAACATAACTTTAATTAGGTTGTATATCATAATTAATATTCAATTATTTAATTCAAAGTTTAGAATGAAACTAGAATCCCTGGAATTATTGCAAAATATTGCATACCAAATTACAGTAATTATATATAATAAAAAGTTAAATTTCAGGACGACAGTATAAGGATATAAAGTAGGGAGTGAGCTTACATGCAGTGGCAGTGCTAGTGGGCGAAAATGAGGGGTAATGTAAAATTTTAGGGGGAAATATGTTTTCCCATATGACTTATAAAATCACAACATTAATGGATAATGCTTCTAATGTGCTTGTTATTTTTATTAAAATGCTTAGTAATTTATTACAAGTGTAAAAAAATGGCCAGTGGCCTTGAAATGACAGACTGACTGATCGGAGCAATTCATTTTGTTAGCCAATCTCATAATATTCATTTTTCCAGCAAATGAATTTGTACAGAATGAATATTGTAACACTAAAATATGGAAAGTAATTTAAACTAGGCCTAAATAATTGAAAAATAAAAAATAAACAAACATTTAGTAAATATTGAATTAAAAAATGAACAATAAATAATAAATATAATAAAAAAATAAAATAACAAAACAATAAATAATAAGATTTAGAATAAAGAGCAAATATTCACTGAAACATGTACAATTCATTAGTCGACAATTTTCATAAACTATACCGTTAAGCAAGGTGTTAACTTTTCAGAAACCAAAAACTTGAGCACTGTAGTAAAAAAAGTTTGTAAAACAGATTGCAACAGACAGTGGAGACTGGTCCAAGATTTCTCTGGTCTGTAAACCTTACATTGCATGAATAACGGGTGTTACATGTTACACAAGGTTGCAGAGCTGCCTAATTTCCAACTAGTATTTCCTCTAGTGCTATATGAATCTTATGACTACTCCATAAGATATTTAATCAGAAATACATATGATAAGTATGTATTTTATTACACAGTGTATTTACAGAGAACTCTGCAATAGCCAATCTCTCAAAGTGTGACTATGTATTCAGCATAAGAACATTTTACATTCAGTTGCACCTAGCTATATATACACATAAAGTCAATATTTTGTGTGTGCTTTACCCAGACAGCGACATATAATATCAGATTTTTGTTAAACACACCGGACAATGTTTGGTTTTTCATTACTGTTTCTGTAAAGGTATATCAGTAAACACGGAAAAACTTGCTACCTTTACCATCAGACCATTTCAATCTATTAAATACCTAAAAGGACAAATCATTTTTTTTTCTAATTTGATTTAATCTCCCTATGAAAAAAATCTTCCACAAGACAAAATTTTATTAGAGTCCCTGTACATAAAAAATACTCCAATAAACATAACAAAATATCTACCATCGTTCTTAAATATGTATATATATTATATCTACAGCGAAAGTAAAAATTATCATTTACATGTATTTTTTGTCAGTTTTAAAGAATAAGGAAATAAGAGAATAAAATAATAATTGATGGGATTTATTCCATTTATCATCCAAATATGAGCAACTTGTCAGTTAAAGGATGTGATGCTCTATATAACTCTCCTGTGGGTCACAGGGGTCACAGGATTCTCCCATAAATCCACATGGTCTATGCACTCCCACTATCAATTAAAAAAAAGGCCCCAATTTTATTTATTTTTTGATCTTAAAAATGCTAGCTCATGCTCTTTGAATGCTCCCCCTAGCTCCAACAGTGCTAGTCCCAGGTTCAGAGATATTGGTAGGCCCCTAGAATGCTGGTCCCTAGTTCTTGGAATTACTGGCCCTGGTTCTCTATTGCTAATCAAAATTCTAGCCCTGGTTCTGAATAGGCTAGCCTTGGATTTTCAGTGCTTGCCAAGATTCTCATAAAGCTGGCCCCTGTCTATTTGAGAGTTTACCAAGGTTTATAAAATGCTAGCACTAGTTTTCAAGTCCTTGAATTTCAGAGTGATTAGTTTAACTTCCGACAAGGAAGACTTTTACACGAAAATATTTTTATTCAAACAGATAAACAATGAAACCTACAGACAAGACAAATTCAACTTCACATGTGAATTAAGGAAGTTCATATTTTGTAAAATCAAGGCTTACAAAACCCATACACAAGACTGTATATGGTCATAGCAACACCAAGTGTTGATTCAAACAGTAGATTATCATTGTTTATCGTTAGGCCAGCTAGATGAGGAATAATTAAACATTTTTTTGCTAACGATTGCACATCCAATTACCTAATTACTATTAGGCTTAAATATTACTAGGTCTATACATGTAATTTCAGCCTGTTGGCTGCATTTTCAATTTTGTACGTAATTTCATGCCTAAATAAATAGATTTCTCACCACAAAGAAAATTGCAGACATAAAAAAAATTAATTAATCAGATTAACTTTTCAGAAACATCATGGCTCCATCGTAGCTGTTGTTCTACAGCCGCTAAAAATTGCTCATCACTCTGAGAGCTTGGAGTAACTTGGCGGACTGAACTTCTTACGAAGGTACTTAAGAATGTAGAGCGGTACGCAACTGAACAAGGTTATCACGGTCACTTTCCACCAGAACGGCCAGGTTGTGATGAATTCACGATCTGAAATTAACGAAAAACCATGAAAATATAAATCTAAAGATATGCTAATAATCATGACACTTCAGTAATTTTAATAATTAGAATCTATCGACATCTTGTATGTTTATGAATAAATGCAAAAATAAAAATTAAAACTCACCAAAGTATTCATCGAATATAAATAAGGAAGCGACGTAGATACACAAACTTAGTAATTCAGCTACCACCATCAGCCAATGCCACGTGCGTATCGTCAACGCAACCATTAATAACTCGGTGATGATTAGCGATGTGAAAGAGATCGCAACGATGTGAATGAACTCCCCACTGAACAGCCAGAGAGCGCCATACATGATGGCACCCCCTTGAAATATACTGATCAACACCCAAACAAAGAACATTTTGAATGATAACTCCCGACCCTTAGAAAAAAAAAATTAAACAACAATAAAATACTATTGCTAATTATAATATAAATATTTATAAAGCGAACAATCAACCTTTAAAAAGAATACACTGACAGCACTGATTTCACGTTTAGATGTTAAAAGACTGCTTTTGATTAAATAACTCAAGTTCCTAAAGGGTGTGTTTCCTCTGATAAACACAAAATAATCAATTTTTTAAATCCGTTTTTTTAATGAGTACCAGACAGCCTGCTGGTGTTGCAACTGCATTTTTTATTTTTTGAAAATCAGTTTTCGTGACGGAAATTACGTCACCATTTTGTTTATACAACACATTGTTTTCCTAACTATATAGTATAGTATCTTTCTCATTCCTGTCATGATGACGAGGAGTAAGATACTATGTGGGGGGAGAAGGCAAATGTTTTTGGCTGTGCTCATCGGCACAATTATGAACGACGACCAAACGAGGATGGTAGGCCCAAAAGAGCGGAGAGTCCTAGGCCCAATATCCCCCACCCCCACAAAATAATTACAAAATGAATTTGTCACAAACTGGTCCCATTTCTACTGCAAGAATTAAAGCGATTTTTTGAAAAAGCAATTTTTTGAAAAAGCAATTTTTTGAAAAAGCGATTTTTAATCGATTATTTCTTTCCAGTAGAAACAGGCCCAAAGACTTCGAGAATGGAGTCATTGTCGATCTCTTATCATGTGACACCATCATTTTAACTTCAACAATATTTTCTAATTTCCAAAGAGTCAATAATTTTCCATTATTATTATTATTGACTACAGCACTGCATCATTGCCTGCTTATTATATATTTATATTATATGTCATAAATTTCATAAAATGGTTAAATTAAGGACACTATAGTCGTATGGAGGAAATCCACTGTAATGTAATATTTACATATTACACATATCCCATATATGGTAATAAATAAGGATTATACCTTTAATAAATCTTTATACAATTCCGGGTAGAGCATAGCTGTTTCTGGTGTAACATCTTGGTCGAGTACAAGTAGAAACACGGGTAGCATAGTGTAAGCCGTCACATATCTAGTGAAAATGATAGAGATGCTCAACATACAAAGATAATGAATAAGGAAACTAAAACAGGTTGAAGGAAATGTGATATCCTAGTGATAAAACTGCAATGTTTGATAAAACAAAAAACAATGCACAGATTCCTTTAGCACTATAGAATCAACCCATTGATTTAATATTACCGTGGCTTGTATAAATATGTCGTTTATGCACGTTGAAAATTTACACAAAATGAGGTCTCCATATTGTAGCAATGTAATTAATGTAATTACTTAAAAACGGTGAGACACAGAGCTCTGCAATGGCGTATCATCACCTCCCCCCTAGAAAATTACTAGTGCACCCCAGTCGTCCCCCACCCCAAATTCATGGTCAAGTAATTAAAAATCACCTAAAATCACCTTATTTTGCAAATTTACACCCCTTAACTGAACATCAAGCCCCCGCTTCATCTTCGCGCCCCCATCTGCACCCCTATTTCAAGACACCACTGGAAATCTGTGCTTAAATATCACCCCATTACTAGCTACCATCACTTTCTTTTGTGCTACTATCAGGGTCCCCTCCCCCCAATTAATACTCCTAAGGTTACTGAAAATACTTTCAATTCCAAGTTATTCAGGAACCTCAAAAACAGAAAACGAAACATATAAAAATAAATTACATCCTAATACTGAAACTTAAAAAAAACATGAGGCTGACGCATAGGCCTATATATATATATTTAAATTTGAGGAGTAAAGCCCAATTATCCATTATACTTAATGTTGTATGTTTGCACTGTTTGTTAGCCATTCCGACTCGCTATATTACATTTGTTAGTGTCAGTCATAGTGGTCATAGTGGTAATAAAGTAAACAAGTAAACTCCTTACTCACTCACTGCATTAAATAGGGTGTGGTGAGAAACCAGTTTACTTGTTTACATTATTACCCCTACGACTGACACTAACTATTTTAATTCAGAGAGTCGGAATGGCTAGCAAACAGTGCAAACATTCGATGTCGATAATGACCCTGGAGGCTTAACATGCTCAGTAATATAACATGAGAACATTGTTAAACTTTATGATACTACCATAAATATTATAATTTGAATATGTCACATGTCTGTAAATGATATGTGTAATATTTAATTTCCTGTAAAGATTGATAATATTTTTTTTTTCTTTCTCGGTGAGTTTTTTCTTCTGTATCAATATTTATTCATTGCTTTTTTTTGCATTGAGCAAATAATTAAATAAATTAAAACATACCCAACTGTCAAAATTCCCTGATAAAGTGCAACAGATGAGAAATAAAATACGGACGAGAAAATGGCCTGCATTGTTGAGATGATCAAGCCACGATGCATCACGAAATGACTAAGAGCAGCCGAACGCTTGTAACTATTGCGTCCATGAACTATCAATAGTGGTCCCACGTGCTTGAATTGCGTGATGGAGAAGTCGGCAGCCAGTGACGCCTGTTTCCCTTCCTGAAGGAGACAAATTGGATAAATGGTCATAATTTTCGTTAATTGGTGGCCTAAAATTCCTTGACCGTTTGGAGAAGATTTGATTTTTAAGCAATCTTATCCGACAAAAATTATATTTTCTATAATTTAATTGTTGCTATAAACAAAAGTTGGATGACCTCGACCTTGTTAATTTGCAAAACAAAATTATATAATTATGAAGACTCATTATATATGTAGAGCGAGCGAAGGCCACTGATAATTGGGGGAGGATTGGTGGAGAGATTAACCATTCCATTTAATATTTACATGACTATCTTCGTAGGCAGGGATTCATTCACTACTCTATCTGTACACTTAAAATGAGCCATTTATACTGTTATCAATTCTGAGACAGATAATTTCTGCCACTGGTAATTGGCTGCAAAAACAGCCGTACACAATGTGTACTGTCCTCGGCAACCATGGGGACTAGTGCATTCTTAGTAATGCAGCTAAATCGGTGTCAGATCAGTTTTATAAAGTTTATCACAAACCATTTGGCAAATGCGTTTTGTACAATGTTTTGCAAGCCTGTCACAGCCGATATATTTGTGTCTTTACATAACAAAATTGTATATACTGTATACTGTAGTCTCTTTGCTCACCTGCCTTCATGACAAATTGAAGATTTTCTACAGAAATTCTTTATTTTTTCCTCAATTAAATAAATATAATATATGCATTTATCAATATGATCATTGAATTGTTTATGATCACATTCTTTATGACTACACAACAGGATCTTGGGGAGCACCTTTTTTTTTATAAGCTCAATTATTTTATCTGAAACACTACCATATATATTTATTATTATTATCAATAAAAGACATTGATTATTTTCTCATCTACCTTGATGTTTTGATCTGAACCAATTTAATTAGCTAAATAAGAAAACAACATTTTATTCCAATTTTTTTCCCCTGCCTCATCATATGATCTTTCAAAAATAAAATCTGCTGAAAAAGGTAAAATAAAATCTCGCCTTTATACTCCTGATTGGAGACAAACGTTGATGAAGTGTCTTGGCTAAGGACATATGTAATTTGACTAAAGTATTCAATTCGAACCCGCGGCCAAAGTTCAAAGAATGACAAATTGTATAGCTCACCTTTCCAACGATACCAATACCAACATTAGCTGCTTGGATCATACTGACATCATTTCCACCATCACCTGAACAAAGACAAAAACACCGTAAACAATGGGGGACTTAGTTTCCCCCAGGTTCTTACCAGGGCTTTGGCCCTGGAGTGAACAAAAGAGGGGAAAATGCTTTTTCTTTTTTAATTACTTTTCTTGGACTTAGTTTCCCCCAGGTTCTTACCAGGGCTTTCTCCCTGGAGCCTGTCATAAACTGTCAGAGCCGCTGTCAGACAGCTGTACCACTCCGCCCCCTTCCCTCCCCTGTCCCCGGAATGTACAGAGTCATGACTGTTGTCTACAGAGAGCTGAGTCATAAGACAGCAATGAAATCGATTGTGCAATGATAAACACTCGTATAATATCACCTAATGTCATCCTTAGCCTAAAGGCATCTATAATCACATTTGAATTCTCAGCTTTATGACAAGTCACCAGGAAGACAGAGAGGAAATGGTTTCAATATCAGTATACATCAAAGGAGAATGTAACAAGATACAGTTTAAAATAACACTCAAAATGGAACATCTCCACCACATAAATTTTTAAAATCTTTAGGTAAAACCTTGATATTGCAAGGCAGGTGAACAAAGTTCCAATAAAACATAATTTAATATTTTAAATGGAATTTGTAGGTAAAAGTAACACTAGGAAGTTGTGAACTACATCTGGAAATCAATGAGATTTAAGTTTTGGGAAACGGATTCCAGATGACTAAATAAAAATACTGTATCTGTGATTAAGTTCGAACAGCAGTACAAATTGATAAAATAGGCCATGAGAGAGAGAGACACACAATTTGGCTTAACTTCTCTTGTCAATTTCAACTCCTTTGTAGGATGTCATTGTGAGGCATCTTGTCTTTTTTGTTTAATATAAGTATTTAATAACAATACATAATCTTCTAAGATTATGTAACTATCATTTATGTACTATATTTTATCAGGCTTATTAATTGTTTTCTTTTACTATTTATTTTGTATTGTGTGGAAAAAGCAATAAAACAAATAAAACAAACAAACAATAATGGCAATATTTGAAAATATCAAAACAACATAATGGTAACAACAATAATACAGTACAGATTTGTGGACAGTTTTCATTAATGATCTTTTAATGTTTATAATAATTGTCATAATCAGAATGCAATTATAAAATAATAATAAATAATTATAACTAATTTGTATAGCATGGAAAAAAGTAGCAAGCAAATGCCAGTAATATATTAGGTATAAGATGACTATTTACAAGCCACCAATGTGGTAACATAGCATCTGTGCCTCCTTGAGTCAAGGGTCAACTCAGAGGTGTTGCCCTACATGCCCACTTGTGATTTTCTGTAGGCTGTGACACATCTGTTTTCTAATATGATGCATGCTGCGGTAGTCTTACATGACCAGACTAAAAAAAAAAATTCCAGTCATAAAAACTAGACTATTGACACAGTTTCTATGATCTGAAGTCTCCATTCAATGGTAAGGGCACATAGAAAAAATTATTAAATTATCAACAAAATTGATGAGGGCGGGAGGTTTTTTTTTTGATGTGTATAAGAGACAGGATTATACCCGGGGATTCCCGTGTGCATGAACAGAACGAACATGACATTGGTTTTCGAAGTGGCAGATGCACTTAACAACTGCCCTGTGATCCAATGGCCTACCTAAAACTAGGCCTATATTCCGGTGAAAAAAATCAGACATTACTTGAGCATCAAAACGAAGGGAACACCCTAATTATAGTTATAGAGTAGGCATAGGCGCCTAGGCTTTGGTCTTCACCTCTAGCTAGGCCAGCATTTGGCTAAACTTTCTTTCTTGATGTCGTAGGTTAGTTTTTGCCCAACCAATGCAATCAAACACATCCATCACAAGGAAGCCGCCCACTTGTAATGCATTATGTAATGAGTTATTTTTAGCAGCGAGAGTCCCTGTGGAATGTGAGTCTACACGCTGTGAATTAACGATCCGATCAGCCTACTGGGCGGGTCTCTTTACGGACGGACCGCTGTGTTGTCTACTTTTAACCGCAGTTAGCGAGCTGTTTATTTTTAGCGACAGTAAACAAGTTTAAAAAAAGGGCTTTGCATTTTCAACCCAATGTCTGATCTAATCAATTGGAAGAGTTTATAGTCCGCCGAGTTCGGAGCCAATTCCTTTATATTTTGTGAGCATTTGTTTTTTCCAAAGTTGTTTTTATGCAGTTAAAATAAATGATGCAACAAAAAAAAAATGAATACATAAATAAATAAATAAAGATAAAATTATTCCCGCATCAATATTTCCGAAATTTTTAACGTGGGCGGGAGTGATAATCTAATAAATTTTTCTATTTGCCCTAAACCAAAGGTAATAGGTGGATATCTTTCCACAAAATCAGTGGGTAATTCATAATTATCAACATTTCAAATTTGTTTATTGTTGTTGTTTTTGATGTTATTATTATCACCATTATTGTTATTTAAAAAAAATTAATTAATTTAATTCATAACATTGTACATAAAGTGTACAAGGAGTTTTTGATTTAAATTATATAACATTATTTCAGGAAATGGTACATAGGGAGTTATACAATCTGCAATTACTGTACAATATTATTATAAATGTAGTAAAGTGCTATATTAATGTTATCTTTATAGTATCCTCATGATATCACATAGCCTGCCTCATTTTCTGGTAATTTGACATGACCCTTTCTGTCAAATCATATTGCAATAAGCTATGCCAAGAATTTCTAAAACTCAGGATTATAAAAGTCCTGTAATAATTAACAAGAAGCATGATTTCTTTATATGGTCTGGCAGTTTAGTAATTGCTATGAGCGCCAAGTGACACTCAGTAGAAAGCAATCGATTTTTGCCAATTAGAAAAGGAAATTAAAGCAGAACAAGGAATGGAGAAGAATGAATCCAAAATTGACTAACATGAAGCATAAGAAAATGATGATGATGATGGTGGAATGTTATTCAAATTAATTTTATGTTATCAAAATCCATCTTGTATGTAGCAGAGCTAAATTACATGAGTAGGTTTTAAAATAAAAAATTATACACATTATATTTTTATTGATATATGTTTATTATTTCCCTTCATATCCATTCAACAGCAGGTACACTTGCCAGTTAAAGGATGGAATGATGCTTTATAAATCAAGTCCCCTTTTTGAGGCCTAGGGAGTGGAGTTGTTTTGGTCGTGAGAAAAATTCCTGCTGTGACAGGAATTGAACCTATTACCCTGGGATTAGAAGGCAAGCACCTTAACCACTAAGCCATTCAACTCCACTCACTATTTATTGCGTCAAGCTTTGGCCAGACTATCAAATTTCATTTTGACCAAAAACATGTGACATGCCTAAAGTGGTCATGATGACATCATATCATGACCATATATAGGCACATCATGACCATATATATGCACATCATGACTATATATAGGCACATCATGACCATATATAGGCACATCAACATCATGACCATATATAGGCACATCATGACCACATATAGGCACATCATGACCATATATAGGCACATCATGACCATATATAGGCACATCATGACCATATATAGGCACGTCATGACCATATATAGGCACATCATGACTATATATAGGCATACAATAATTTTTTGCCACATACAATTTCGTAGTCGGAACAGGGCTTTTCTCTGCAAGCACAAGAGATTTTATTAAGGTTCATTCACACTGATCCTGAATTTTCGAGATCGAAAAGCTTCACCGAACCGATCAGAAAATTGTATCAGTATGTAAGAACAGGGACACTGGCAAAGGCATACAGTGTATTGGAAACACAGTCTGAATTTTGGTTCGGATCCAGTGTAAAATTAGCTACTATATACCTCCGTTGCTTAAAAATTAATTTATTAATTGAGTATGATGGAGCCATTATATGGAATACATTATAATAATATAAAATATGGTATGCTACTTCATTAGATGAAAGAAATCCCTACAGATTTGGATCCAGTGTAAAATTAACTACTATATACTTTCCTCGTTTAAAAATTAATTTATTATTTGAGTACGATGGATCCACTATATAGAATACACTGTAATAATATAAAATATGGTATGAAGTAGCTACTTCATTAAGTACAGACAAGAAATCCCTAGAGGATTCGAACACAAGACACCTCCAATCACAGTTCAGTTCCTCCACCCGATGAACCAGACACCACTGTCCTGGGCGTACACAACTGGCATTTTGTTGTAATTCATATAACTGCTCACAGCAGTAGAGTAATAAATTTACTTTGACGAAGTAGCAGTTGAAAGACTATACTTTATTTTATGTCTACACAAGATTTTATTGTAAACTGTTGTACTTTATTAGACTACTGTAATTTATTAGACCATGGCATTGAAGGAATGAACTTGTATTTCAATGCTGACAATATGTCACCCCAAAGAATTCTCATGGAGAATTAAATATATAAATAATGTTATATTGTTACTATATTCTTGTTCTGCAAATGGGTTAATCACACAATAGAGAGTAAAGGACACCATAATTTTAATATGTGAAAACTACTACAGGGTATAAACTACCAAAGCAAACAATTGCGTTATCTTGGGTAATAGAAAATTGTAATTTTTATTTACAAATCTGGAATTGGTATAATTAGTATTAAATTCATAAAAGGGGAAATGATTAGATAGTTCTTGGTTATTTATGATCCATACAAAATATGGAATACCAAAACTACAAACTCCATGGTATAATTATATACCTTATATTAGGTAGCTTTCGATTTGTGCGACGACGCGATGCTAGAACGGAATCACTCATGCGTGATCGTCCTACGTTCTCTGCATACGCACATTTGACCAAATTGCGTTCCAGAATCTACTCGACGAGGTGACCTTAACGTTCTCGCATGCGCAGATGACTTTTATTGATGTCATTATGTTCTACGTCCTACCGTCATCCTGCAATCAGAAGTTCCCTATTATGTAGACGGACTATCACACAAAAAACACATTTTCTGAGTTACTTCCCCAAAGGAGTAGTACCTTTT